AAAAAAAAAAAAGTGTACTTGTAAAAAAAAAAATATAAGAAAATTAAAAAACATCAGTTTATAAAACACAAAAAAAGTAAAAAAAAGTCTAAAACAATAACAGTGTAAAACTGCAAATATTTACTGCATTGCAGCTTACCAATTCTCAGATGTGGTGGCTGCATTAGCTTTCTTTACCTTTATTTTTACCGGATGATCCAGCCAGTCAGTCTGTTTTTCAACAGACCGAGCTGTCGTGCAGATGTAGCAGAGGGAAGAGACAAACCATTTACCATCGACAGGGAGTGCTTACAATGATCAGCTTTTATGTAAAGTCTTTATCCCAGAAGTAAAAAAAAAAACCTCTTATTATACGTGCATGAAAACTGAAGGAAACTAATGTGCAGATTTCACTTGCAGACACATCAGTTTACATGCACGCTTCAATGAGTTTTATACACGTTTACACTGATTATAACAGTGTGAGCTGCAGTTGGTTTTCAATTTCTTAGTATATCTAAATCTGTTAGTCCATCCAAACCCCCCCCCCCCCCCCCCCCCCCCCCGAATGGCAATGCTGCTGTCCAAAAGGTGACTCCCGCTTATACAGGAGGTGTGCTACTGGCCAGATCGACAGGTGAAAACAGAGGGAAGAAGAAGAGGAAGAGGAAGAGGAAGAAGAGAAGAAGAGGAAGAGAAGAAGAAGAAGAAGAAGAGAAGAGGAAGAGAGAAGAAGAAGAGGAAGAGGAAGAAGAGGAAGAAGAAGAGGAAGAGGAAGAAGAGGAAGAAGAAGAGGAAGAGGAAGAAGAAGAGGAAGAGAGGAAGAGGAAGAGGAAGAAGAGGAAGAGGAAGAAGAGGAAAGAAGAAGAGGAAGAAGAAGAGGAAGAGGAAGAAGAGGAAGAAGAAGAGGAAGAGGAAGAAGAGGAAGAAGAAGAGGAAGAGGAAGAAGAGGAAGAAGAAGAGGAAGAGGAAGAAGAGGAAGAAGAGAAGAGGAAGAAGAGGAAGAAGAAGAAGAAGAGGAAGAAGAGGAAGAAGAGGAAGAAGAGGAAGAAGAAGAAGAAGAGGAAGAAGAGGAAGAAGAGGAAGAAGAGGAAGAAGAGGAAGAAGAGGAAGAAGAGGAAGAGGAAGAAGAAGAGGAAGAGAAGAGGAAGAGGAAGAGGAAGAAGAGAGGAAGAGGAAGAAGAGAGAGAAGGAGAGAAGAGGAAGAGGAAGAGGAGAGGAAGAGGAAGAGGAAGAGGAAGAAGAAGAGGAAGGAAGAAGAGAGGAAGCTTAAGAGGAAGAGGAGGAAGAAGAGGAAGAGGAAGAAGAGGAAGGAGGAAGAGGAAGAAGAAGAGGAAGGAGGAGAGAGAAGAGGGAGAAGAAGAGGAAGAAGAAGAGGAAGAGGAAGAAGAAGAGGAAGAGGAAGAGAAGACGAAGAGAAGAGGAAGAAGAAGAGAAGAGGAAGAAGAGAGGAAGAAAGAAGAAGAAGAAGAAGAAGAAGAAGAAGGAAGAGGAAAGAAGAAGAGGAAGAGGAAGAAGAGGAAGAGGAAGAAGAGGAAGAAGAAGAAGAAGAGGAAGAAGAAGAAGAAGAAGAAGAAGAGGAAGAGGAAGAAGGAAGAAGAGGAAGAGGAAGAAGAATAAGAGGAAGAAGAAGAAGAAGAAGAAGAAGAGGAAGAGGAAGAAGAGGAAGAGGAAGAAGAGGAGGAAGAGGAAGAAGAGGAAGAGGAAGAGGAAGAGGAAGAGGAAGAGGAAGAAGAGAGAAGAAGAAGAGAAGAGGAAGAAGAAGAGGAAGAAGAAGAGAGAAGAAGAGGAAGAAGAAGAGGAAGAAGAAGAGGAAGAAGAAGAGGAAGAAGAAGAAACTAATGCAGCCACTTCATATTACATTTTGGATTTAATTTCACATTAAGGCCACATGAATATAGGCACATTTTCCCATACAGAGTAAACAATCTACGTATTTTTGGTGCCCAGGATGTCCTGGTTCTGCGTACAGCTGACAGCGTGCACTCAGGACATTAACGTGGTTGTAAAGGGTTTTTTTTTTTTTGTTGTTTTTTTTATACCTTTATGCATTCTCTGCATTAAGGTAAAAAAAAAAAACCTTTAAAAATAGTATTCTCCCCCCTGCCCCCACCTAAAGACTCACCTGAGCCTGACGTCGGACAGCTCTGCGCACATCTGCAGCAGCTCTTCTGTGTATCTGAATAGGAAGTGGCTTTGGCACTCGGCGGGGAGTACAGACTGTAGGGTTGATTTACTGAAACTGGAGAGTGCAAAACCTGGTGCAGAAGTGCATGGCGGCCAATCAGCTTCTACCTTCAGCGTGTTCAGTGAAGCTTTGGCAATAAAACCTGGAATCTGATTGGTTTCTGTGCAGAGCTGCACCAGCTTTTGCACCCTCCAGTTTTAGTAAATCCCCCCCAATATGGTGTTGTACTTACAATACTACAAACACAACAACTCCCCTATACAATAATGAAAAATAAATTCCCTTTCAGTGACACCATAGACATGGAACTGTACTACAACGCACCTCCCTCAATTGTGTCCTGAACACCGACATCAGACAAATATGCGGCCTCACAGAACTGGGCTTTTTTTCCCGCTGGGTCGCATTTTGGAAAACCTGTCTTTGTGCTGGGAGCGTGCCGCACAGGGCGCTCCCAGCACAAAGACTGGGGTGTCACGGAGAGCCCTGGGTCCCGTTCTAACGATCGAGACCCGGGACTCCCGACTCTGGGTCACATGATCGCTGTGATAGCCTCTGATTGGTTATCACAGCGATCAGTCACTGTATAGCCTGCCCCCTTTGTTTATAATTTTCTCTATGAATGGAGGAGAGAGATGAATTGTATTTCTCCATCTCCTGGCATAGAGGAAAAAAAAGAAAATGTTAAAAATAAATAAATGAATAAATATTTAAAAATAACTGAAAAAAATAAAGAAAAAATACCTAGATGAAGGTTTGATCTAGTTCAGTGTCAGGGTTAGTGTTTGCGTTAATGTCAGGGTCAAAAGTCAGGTGTTTTTTTAAATTAGTGTCAGTGTGTTTTGGGTAAAAAAAAAAAAAAATGTGCACTATTGTTTCTGGGCTGTACTCCGGGTACAAGCAACAAATAACATACACATATATGGTATCGCTGCAATCGGCAGGAGCTGGAAAATTTATTTTGGGTTGTTCTTTGGTGGTAGGTTACGGTAGTAACAAGAAACACACAGCTAAATAAAAAAAAATATTTTTTTTTTTTACTATTTTGGGCCAGTTTTCCTTTGATAATAACATTTTTATTTTTTTTTTTAAATAAATATCAGGCGATATCCATGACCATTTACCACCAAATGAAAGCCCAATTTGTCCTGAATAAAACGCGGTATAAGCCATCTAGATGTACAAAGTAGTTGTGATGATATGTACGGTTTTACTAACAAATTGCAAAATTGTGCTTAGGCATTAAGATTTGTTTTACCTTTAGGCGTGAAGGGGTTAACTAAGTGCATGCATCAGTAAAGTGCATAAATCAATAACACAATATTTCAACCATAACAATCACTGTGCAATACAGTACATACATATTGTGAATATAAATTCTGTGCAAAAGTCAGCAACAAGTCTCTGCGTGAGGCACCCATGTCCAATAAACAGTGTTAAGAGTCAGAGTTCGTAAAGTGCTCTTAAAAAAAGTGTTTTGTGCCCAGCGGTAGAAAATGGAAAATATTGGCACTTCAAATAAGCTGCTAGCAGGCTACAGCTAGCTGTAAAAAATGCTGAAGCATGCTAGCAGCTTACCTAAAGTAGCAATCGGCGCCCCCCATTAGGACCCGCCCTCCACAATCGGCGCCCCCCATTAGGACCCGCCCTCCACAATCGGCGCCCCCCATTAGGACCCGCCCTCCACAATCGGCGCCCCCATTAGGACCCGCCCTCCACAATCGGCGCCCCCATTAGGACCCGCCCTCCACAATCGGCGCCCCCATTAGGACCCGCCCTCCACAATCGGCGCCCCCATTAGGACCCGCCCTCCACAATCGGCGCCCCCATTAGGACCCGCCCTCCACAATCGGCGCCCCCATTAGGACCCGCCCTCCACAATCGGCGCCCCCATTAGGACCCGCCCTCCACAATCGGCGCCCCCATTAGGACCCGCCCTCCACAATCGGCGCCCCCATTAGGACCCGCCCTCCACAATCGGCGCCCCCATTAGGACCCCCTCTCCACAATCGGCGCCCCCATTAGGACCCGCCCTCCACAATCGGCGCCCCCATTAGGACCCGCCCTCCACAATCGGCGCCCCCATTAGGACCCGCGCCCTCCACAATCGGCGCCCCCATTAGGACCCGCCCTCCACAATCGGCGCCCCATTATTAGGACCCGCCTTCCACAATCGGCGCCCCCATTAGGACCCGCCTTCCACAATCGGCGCCCCCATTAGGACCCGCGTTCCACAATCGGCGCCCCCATTAGGACCCGCGTTCCACAATCGGCGCCCCCATTAGGACCCGCGTTCCACAATCGGCGCCCCCATTAGGACCCGCGTTCCACAATCGGCGCCCCCATTAGGACCCGCGTTCCACAATCGGCGCCCCCATTAGGACCCGCGTTCCACAATCGGCGCCCCCATTAGGACCCGCGTTGGTACTTTAAAAGCTTCAACACTGAAAGCTCTGCAGACGCTTTGTTAAACCTTGCTGCTCTTACACAAGCGGAGGCCCAAGTGAAGCAGCCATGAGGTCATTGTATGGTAGGAGTGTGAATGGGATGAGTAAACGAGGGGCTGAAATACCTTCCAGGTTCCCTCTGGTGCCGGTCACATGATGAAACGCTAATACGTTCAACAACATCACAACTGCTGAAGTGGAAGATCATTAAAGCTGCTCTCTGATCCTCCTCTTCAGACATCACATGGCCGGCACTGAAAAGCCTGAAGCAGCGTTTTCTCCAGAAAAGCTATTTGAGCCCCTCTTACCTTAAGTCTGTCTCAGCAAAAATGGTGACATCTGAGTCCAGGTCCGCAGTGACACAAACATGGCAGTCATCCACTCACCAGAGGCCAAGGGCCGGATCCATTCCTTGCTGTTCAGGTCCAGCCGCCACAGGTCATTGAATGCTGCGTTACAGCTACTCTGCGTGCAGCCGCCGAACACATACATGGACTGGTTGGAGTCGTAGTAACATGCACCTGAGAGGGAAACAAGGGGACACGTCATACACAACGGTCATTGAAACTACTCCCTTAGCATCAAACAGATGGACCTCACCCAGAGTAACTAATAAATGAGGTTTTCAGTGAAAAAAAAAAAAGTGACCGAAAACCGACTTTTTGCTACGAGGGAACACAGCTTTGTCCCTGATAAATGTGACCTGGTAATCCTGCACAATGGTTGTTTTTACTGCTCACAATACCAGCCTATGAGAGGAGCCGCTCATGGAAAACATTGTCCCTCCTGCTTGTCCCACACTTTATCTCAGCAGGCGTTAGACAGACAATGTACTTCCTGTTTGGAGGATATTTTATCTCAGCAGGTGAGAGGCAGAGGAGCTGAGTGAGTGCAGTTATATTACAGAGCTCCCTCTCGTGGCCCACAGAGCACCCTCTCGTGGCCCACAGAGCACCCTCTCGTGGCCCACAGAGCACCCTCTCGTGGCCCACAGAGCACCCTCTCGTGGCCCACAGAGCACCCTCTCGTGGCCCACAGAGCACCCTCTCGTGGCCCACAGAGCACCCTCTCGTGGCCCACAGAGCACCCTCTCGTGGCCCACAGAGCACCCTCTCGTGGCCCACAGAGCACCCTCTCGTGGCCCACAGAGCACCCTCTCGTGGCCCACAGAGCACCCTCTCGTGGCCCATAGAGCTCCCTCTCCTCACTCCCCCCCATGTCCTTGTGAGTCAACCATACAGGTCTAGGAAGCACTCTGCAGATATCGTGCCCCGAGGATGGCTGTACTAAGCCTGCACGAAGGACCGACCATCTGAGCCTGCTGGCAGGACCCCTACACAGGGGATTTGTCATCAATGCAAGAGAACTTGAACTGTCAGTTGGCAGATATTTTACAAACTGACATTGTCACGTCTCTGCCGGTCACAGGCCAGGAGAACGGACAGCCAGTCATTACACCATGGCCTTACAAGAAGCTGCAATCTGCAGCCGGAGGGCATGTTCTCCTACACCAGGGGTAGGCAACCTGAGAGCCGCAGGACTACAAGTTCCATCATGCCTCTGCAAGTCATAGCTGTAACTGTCAGTTTTGTAATCTTTGCAATGCCTCATGGGAAATGTAGTGCCACAACAGCTAGAGAGCCGCAGGTTGCGTACCCCTGTCCTACACTGACACCCCGGGGTCACCACGCTGTCACTCATTCACTAGCACAGTCCGCCCCTAGAGCCTAAAGCCTGATTTCTCAGGGAGCCTGGAGCAGACAGACATCAGAGGACACACAGGTAAGGCTGCTGACAGAAGCCACAGGGCCCCATGCAGCAAACCTGACAGGGCCCCCACCCCCAAAAATCACAGTTTAATATTCTGCAGCTATGAATGAACACAGTGAGTGATCAGTACCGATCATTCATTGTGTTCATTCCAGAAAGGAGGGGCAATTATTGGAACTGATCCCCTGTATGGCTCTCTCTATAGCAGCTGAAAGCCAGCAGGAGGGAGAGGAGAAGTCGTTGGCTTTCAGCTGCTGCAGAGAGATTCATAGAGGGGATCAGTTCCAATAATTGTCACCCCCCCCCACACCCATCACCCTCCCTACCTACATCTGATTCACCCAGCTGCCTGGGCCCCCTGCTCGCCTGGATCCCAAGCCATGGCTCTGTGTGTTTTATGGAATCATAGAGCCGTGGCTTAGGAGTGAGCACATATCAGTGACCCCAAAGTAAGCGGCTTGCTCTGGGTGCAATACTTGAGGGGGAGGAGACAGGAGCGCTGGGGGGGGGGGGGGGGGGGGGACACAAGAAGAGGATGGATGGGGGCTACTCTGTGCAAAACAAATGCACAGTTATGTAGAACTTTTTTTCGTTTTTAAATAACAAATGAGCCTTTAAAACCACTTTGAGATTTGGGCCAATCAGCATTCCCTGCGACTTCCTCAGAGGGTGTCGGATCCCCTTGTAGTACTGAAGCCGCTAGAAAAGGGAAGTATATCTACTAGCTTTCAGGTTTTATCTCACTTGCATGGTGGTAGGGGGAGGCGGCATGTTTAACCACTTCCAGGCCGGACACCTTCTCCCCCCCCTTCCAGTCCGGACTCCCCCCCCCCCCCCCTTCCAGTCCGGACACTTTTTTTTCTCCCCCCCCCCCTTCCAGTCCGGACACCTTCTCCCCCCCCCCCTTCCAGTCCGGACACCTTCTCCCCCCCCCCCCCTTCCAGTCCGGACACTCTCCCCCCCCCCCCCTTCCAGTCCGGACACCTTCTCTTCCCCCCCCCCCCCCTTCCAGTCCGGACACCTTCTCCCCCCCCCCCCCCCTTCCAGTCCGGACACCTTTCCCCCCCCCCCCTTCCAGTCCGGACACTTCTCTCCCCCCCCCCCCCTTCCAGTCCGGACACCTTCTCTCCCCCCCCCCCCCCCCCCCTTCCAGTCCGGACACCTTCTCCCCCCCCCCCCCCTTCCAGTCCGGACACTTTCTCCCCCCCCCCCCCCTTCCAGTCCGGACACCTTCTCCCCCCCCCCCCTTCCAGTCCGGACACCTTCTCCTCCCCCCCCCCCCTTCCAGTCCGGACACCTTCTCCCCCCCCCCCCTTCCAGTCCGGACACTTTCTCCGCCCCCCCCCCCCTTCCAGTCCGGACACTTCTCCGCCCCCCCCCCCTTCCAGTCCGGACACCTTTCCCCCCCCCTTCCAGTCCGGACACCTTTCCCCCCCCCCTTCCAGTCCGGACACCTTTCCCCCCCCCCTTCCAGTCCGGACACCTTTCCCCCCCCCTTCCAGTCCGGACACACTTCCCCCCCCCCCCTTCCAGTCCGGACACCTTTCCCCCCCCCCCCCCCTTCCAGTCCGGACACCTTTCCCCCCCCCCTTCCAGTCCGGACACTTTCCCCCCCCCCCCTTCCAGTCCGGACACCTTTTCCCCCCCCCCCCCTTCCAGTCCGGACACTTTCCCCCCCCCCCTTCCAGTCCGGACACTTTCCCCCCCCCCCTTCCAGTCCGGACACCTTTCCCCCCCCCTTCCAGTCCGGACACTTTCCCCCCCCCTTCCAGTCCGGACACTTTTCCCCCCCCTTCCAGTCCGGACACTTTCCCCCCCTTCCAGTCCGGACACTTTCCCCCCCTTGCAGTCCGGACACTTTACCCCCCCCCCTTGCAGTCCAGGACAATCTTCATCTTTCAGCGCTATCACACTTTGAATGACAATTGCGCGGTCATGCAACACTGTACCCATATGAATTTTTTAGCATTTTTTGAGACAGATAAAGCTTTATTTTGGTGGTATTTATTCACCACTGGGATTCTTATTTTTTTTGCTATATAAATGAAAAAGTCCAAAAAGTGTTTTTCTTATAAAATTTTGCAACTAAATAATCTTTCTTCATAATGCTTGGCCGAAATTTATTCAGTTATCTTTTTAGTAAAAAAAAAAAAAAAAAAAAAAAAAAAAAAAAAAAAAAAGATTAGTTTATAACCAAAAATAAATTTTTCCTAATTTTTTTAAATTTTTATATTATGTTTTTTTTTTTTTTTTACATACCGTCACCCTAGCAGTACAGTGTCACCATAGTGACACTGTACTACTAGTGGGGGGGGGGGGGGGGTGAAGATTTTTTTTTTTTTTTACACCGATTGCTTTTACACCCATAAAGGCTGTAAAAGCAATCATTTCTCCTTCTCTCTGGCTGCATTCTTGCAGCCATTGAGAAATACTGTGTGAGCTGCGATTGGTCACAGCTTGTAACATGGTACAAGGCTGTTCTGAATGGCCCTGTACCATGTGATCTCTGTAATCATTCACCGATTTCACACATAGTAAGCAATCATGTCAGAAGTGACATCTTGCTTACCACTCTTCATGTGATCACTGATTGGCCAATCAGTGATCACATGATCAGGACCTCACACAGAGGTCCCGTGTACAACGATCGGTGTTCCACTGTGTCCGGGGGACACAGTGGGCACCGGATCGCAGTGTTGCACGCTCCCAGAAAGCGCGCACAAGCAGGGAGGACGTTTATAAACGGCCACCCGCCCCTGCACTGCTCCAGTCTGGCCGTTTATATACATGGGCCGGACGGGAAGTGGTTGACAACTGGACCTTGCTGCCAGTGCCGCTTTCATCAGCTGCAAAACGTTGAAATCATCGCAGAGATAAGAATGAGCCCCAACAGTGTCACTTACTGTGCGAGAAACGCTGGGTGATGGGGGTCCCGGGGTAAGGATACGTTCGGCTCTCCCATTGGATATTCCCATCTTGGACTGCTTTAATAAATCCGTGATAACACTGATGAGCGACCCCTACAGGTAAAAACACAGAGACGTTAGGAGGAAGAGAGGGACACCTACCTTTACCCATACACAGAGACGTTAGGAGGAAGAGAGGGACACCTACCTTTACCCATACACAGACCTTCCATACAATTTTAGTAGTGAAATAATATACCGCTTATTAAACGTATAACATTTTTTTTTCTTTTTTTGGATTGGATTAGACCCCATGTCAGTTTTTTTTTTTTTTTTTTTTTTTTTTTTTTATTGCTGCCTGTGTCCCCATTACAGAGATTCACTCTCTCTATTTTTCCCGTTCACAGTTATCATGGAGACAAAGAAAATCCCAAAATTTCGGGTTGTCCCCAGAGAGGTAAGAGGGGAAATCTTCCAATGGAGACACTGGTTCTGGTGACAACCAGGGATTTCCTCTCTCACTTCCTGTTCTGGCTATGAGACAGGAAGTGAAATCTTCCCATTGGGACATAGGTGGCCAAAGTTTTTTAACAAGAGGTTATAACCCTCCTTTAGCCCCAGTTCGCTCTTCGACGCAAATTCAAAGCTACCGATTGGTGCGGCTTCACACACAGATGTCAATGCAAGTCGCACAGATAGCGCAGGAACCATCTTCACAGCGACAAATAGGATGCGACTTTGATCCGTCAGGTTGCACCGGTGTGAATGGGGAATGGGGCTCACTATACAGGTGACAGTGGCCTATAGATTTCATTAAGCATGTGTGTTATCTTTAAAGAAGACGCATAAGCAAAACTCCCCCCCCCCCCCATATTGGATGGCATAAGGGAGGGTTATATCCCCTGTCATGTGTCCCATTGGGGAGATTTCTCTTCACTTCCTTTCTAATCGTTAACAGGAAGTGAGAGGAAATCCCTACAAATTAAAGGGAATTCCTTCCCCTCCCCCCCCAGGTCACCAGAACTAGTGTCTCCATTGGAAAATTTCCCCTCTTATTATTTTTCTGGGAAAAACCCAAAATGTGTGATTTTCTTTTACTTTCCCTTTGAATAACAGTAAATAGGACAAAGAGAGAAGGGAATCTCCTTAACGGGGGCACAGGCAGTGACAACCTGACACGGGATCTATTCCCTCTCTACTCCATCCAAAACTAAAACGTTTTGCTTTTAGTGACACTTTAAAGCGGACCTCCGGACAAAAAAACCTCTCATTTCCCATGCAGTGCAGCTGCTCGTTTTGTTTAGGGCTCAGGGTAAAGCTAGACTTAACCCATCCTTTGATCCTCCAGAAAAAACGGTGCTCCAGAGGTGGACTGTTCCCACGTCCAGTCCAGAGGTGGACTGTTCCTGCACGGCGCTCCCCCACGTCCAGAGGTGGACTGTTCCTGCACGGCGCTCCCCCACGTCCAGAGGTGGACTGTTCCTGCACGGCGCTCCCCCACGTCCAGAGGTGGACTGTTCCTGCACGGCGCTCCCCCACGTCCAGAGGTGGACTGTTCCTGCACGGCGCTCCCCCACGTCCACGTCCCCCCACGTCCAGGTGGACTGTTCCTGCACGGCGCTCCCCCACGTCCAGAGGTGGACTGTTCCTGCACATTCACAAGACCACTGGCATGTGGGGGGGGGGGGTAGGCAGGGGTGTACTTACCACAAGGCAAACAAGGCATTTGCCTAGGGCGGCATTTTTCAGGGGGGGGGGGGGGGCAGCACTGCTCCACGAAAGAAGGGACACATGCGGCATGGGGACCAGTTGGGATCTGAGGCTGCTTGGCAGTGTATGCAGAGCCCGACTCTCATTCCTGGGGATGTGTGGAGCTGTGAAGGTGAGTGTCTTTTTCTCTCTCGCTGGGGGTGGGATGGGATGGCCGGTGTATGGAGGGTGGAGGTAGCAGAAGGCTTTCTCGGGTAAGGGGATGGTGTCAGTTGGTGTCAGGCTCTCTCTGGGGGGGGGGGCGATTTTTGTGTTGCCTAGCATAAAACCTAAATACACCACTGGTGGTAGAAGTGGCGGGGACTGGTCTTGCGCTCGGTGGATCACTGGGATTAGGTAAGTAAATCTTTGCCTCCCAGGAGTGGCGGGGACTGGTCTAAATGCTTTGCCTCCCAGGAGTGGATCTTGCGCTCGGTGGATCAGTATCAGTAAGTAAATCTTTGCCTCCCTACCCCCTAGGCCAGGGATGGGCAAACTGTGTCTCTCCAGCTGTTGTAGAACTACATTTCCCATGAGGCACTGCAAATCCCGGAAGTTACAATCATGACTCTAGTTACAGCTAGGCATGATGGAACTTGTAGTTCTGCCACAGTTTGCCCACCCCTGCCCTAGACAAAAACGAGCATTTAAAACACGTGCAATGTGGGCACAGCTCCTCCACAAGGAACAATTAATATTGCCCGGAATTCTTCTAACTAGATAGGAAATCATGACACCACTCTGGCACGAGGCACCAGGTGCCTCACACTGCAGCAAGAAACACTAACTAGCAAGGGACAGGCTGCAATGTCATTGCCATCAATATTCAAGCCATAAAACAGCAACTTCACTTTATTTCAGGTACTTCTATATCGCCGTCAATGTACGCCGCGCTTTACATATATATTGTACATTCCCATCAGGCCCCGCCCCCGAGGAGCGTACAATCTAAGGTCCCTAACTCACATTCATACATACACATACCAAGGTCCAATTTAGACAGGATCCAATAAACCTACCAGCATGTCTATGGAATTGTGGGAGGAAACCGGAGTACCCGGAGGAAACCCACACAGGCACAGGGAGAACATGCAAACTCCAAGCAGGTGCTGCTGTGGTTAGGATTCGAACCGACGACCTGAGTACTGCCAGGCTGAAGTGCTGACCATTTAGCACTTTGCAGGAGACAGGTCCTCCGGGGCATACAGCAGTAGGGGGGGGGGGTCTATAAAGTGAATATTTCGATATCCGTGCTGCATAGTGTACACGGAGGGCTATGCTGGCGGTGTGTTCGGTACATGAAATCAGAGGATGTGTGTCTGGAAGGGATCCCGCCACCACTATACCATACATGGTCATGCAGCCAGACCTCGGCCTCTGAGCCACAAAACAAACATCTCACAGGAAAAATCAAATGCCCTAGAAAAAAAAAAAAAAAAAAAAGAGAAGTAAAAAAACGGTAAAACGAAGCTGAATTGTTAGCAGGAGAGATGCGGATGGATGTAGAATGGTGGTAGTGGACTGCTCCAGCCTGCTCTTCCAGTGAGACAGACAACCCCCCCCCCCCCCCGATCAGGGACAAGTGTACCCTTTACACAGGACAGCCAGGCACATAGTATTTCCAGGAGGAGCGGTCACCAATGGCAGACTTCCTTCTCCCCTCGCGGTACAATTGAGGGAGTCGCCGGCACCGAGGGGAGAACTGCGATGCAGAGAGGAGTCCAGCCACACATTTCTATGTATAGAATCATCATCTCCCCATCTGCTTCCCTCTCGTTTCTGGCACGTTGCTCCTGGGCTCCGTCCAGGAATGACAGATTTAGCGGAATCCAGGACAGTACAAGGACGTTATGGAACCGCACTGGATCGTTTGTCTACAACAACATTCATCAGATTACAAAGCAGAAATACAAACCGTTCTCGGAGAATGACATCTGCAGATCTGAGGAAATGAAGAGACAGAAGGATGGATGGATGAGCATCCACAAACCTCCATGTGCGGTGACAAGTCCTGGGGCGCTCATCAAGAACATCCTAGTTCCTGGTCCATCTATGGCCCCTCTAGGAGATGAGGGCCAACATAAAGAACAGCAAAACAAAGCTGGACTCAGCGCACAAATCAACTCATTTACAATCTATCCCTCAGTAATCACAAGTTGCAAGTTCATTTGAAAACCAAGATATCACCTAGTAAAAGTAGCAGTGACATCACTGTGCTGTATATAGCCTGTGCACAAAACAGCTGTAGGAGGGGCTAGCAGGCCCCACCCACCACAGATACCTATAGAAGGGGTGGAGACAAGACCAGTCACCCTGCACCAGGAGAGAGCAGAGCTGTGGGAGGGAATCAGCAGGCCCCACCCACCACAGATACCTATAGAAGGGGTGGAGACTAGACCAGTCACCCTGCACCAGGAGAGAACAGAGCTGTGGGAGGGAACCAGCAGGCCCCACCCACCACATATAAATATAGAAGGGGGTGGAGACTAGACCAGTAACCCAGCGCAAGGAGAGAGCAGACATGTGGAAGTGACCCAGCAGGCCCCACCCACCAAAGATACCTATAGAATGGGCGGAGACAAGACCAGTCACCCCACAGAAGGAGAGAGCAGAGCTGTGGGAGGGAATCAGCAGGCCCCACCCACCACAGATACCTAAAGAAGGGGTGGAGACTAGACCAATCACCCTGCACAGGGAGAGAGCAGAGCTGTGGGAGGGATCCAGCAGGCCCCACCCACCAAGATACCTATAGAATGGGCGGAGACAAGACCAGTCATCCCACAGAAGGAGAGAGCAAAGCTGTGGGAGAGAACCAACAGACCCCACCCACCACAGATACCTAAAGAAGGGGCGGAGACAAGACCAGTCTTCCTGCACCAGGAGAGAGCAAAGCTGTAGGAGAGAACCAGCAGGCCCCACCCACCACAGATACCTATAGAAGGGGCGGAGACTAGACCAATCACCCTGCACAGGGAGAGAGCAGAGCTGTGGGAGGGAACCAGCAGGCCCCACCCACCACAGATACCTAAAGAAGGGGCGGAGACAAGACCAGTAACCCCCGCACAAGGCGCAAACAGACCTGTGGGAGGGATCCAGCAGGCCCCACCCACCAGAGATACCTATAGAAGGGTGGAGACAAGACCAGTCACCCTGCACAAGGAGAGAGAGCAGCAGTGAGTGGTCTAGATTACTGCACGGATCTGAAGGAACACACAAAGCTCACTGAGGTTCAAGAAGACAACACATGACCGATGGATTGGAGCAATATTCTCTTACACTGGAGTCCCGCTTGAACCCCAGGGAGGGGCAGCACTGGACAGAAGAGAACACAGCAAATGACCATGTAAACAGACAGCTGTGGGTGGGGAAGTGACATTACCCCCAAGAAGTCTAACTGAAGGCTAAACTTTTCTTTTTAGTTTTGGATGGAGCAGAGAGGGACCCCCTGTCAGGTGTTGTCTGTGTCCCCGTCAGGAAGATTCTCCCTCTATGTGTCCTGCTTACTATTATCATTGACAGTGAAAGTATAAAACCTAAATTTTGGGTTGTCTCCAGAAAAGTAATAGAGGGGAAATCTTCCAATGGGAACGCTAGTTGTGGTGACCTGAGGGGACCCCAGGGAATCCCCATAATTTGCAGGGTTCCCTCTCACTTCCTGTTTGGCTATGGGACAGGAAGTGAGGGAAATCTCTACAATGGGACACAGATGGTGAAAAGAATGTGAGGCGTTATAACCCTCCCTTCCTGGAAAAAAAAAAAAAAAAAAGAAAGAATAGTTCTACTTTAACCACTTCAATACCGGACACTTCTAACCCCTTCCTGCCCAGCCCAATGTTCAGCTTTCAGCGCTGTCGCACTTTGAATGACAATTGCGCGGTCATGCAACACTGTACCCATATGACATTTTTATCATTTTTTCACACAAATAGAGCTTTCTTTTGGTGGTATTTAATCACCACTGAGTTTTTTTTATTTTTTTGCCAAACAAAAAACAACATCTAAACTATTGAAAAAAAAAAAAAACACAAAAAAAAAAAAAACACTTTTCCTAATTTCTGTTATAAAATTTTGCAAATAAATAACATTTCTTCAAAAGTGTAGGTCGAAATGTATTCTCCTGCATTTCTTTGGTGAAAATAATTGAATTTGTATTTTTTAAAAAAAAATTTTTTTTTTTTTTTACTTTTTTTCAGCAGTGACCAAAGCAATACAATGTTACCATAGTAACATCAAACTACTCTGGGAAAGTCATCAACATTTTTTTTTTTTTTTTTTAAACGCATTAGGATTGCTGATACCGATGTATTTCATTGATATTTACAATCGTTGTTAGTGAATGAAACGGATTCATTCAGCCTTTTGTTGTGATTGGGCAAAGCTGATCACATGATACAGATGGGCTGTGATTGGCCCTGTCAACATAATTGTATACAATGGAAGGCATGACAGGAAGCTGTCCATTGTATACAATTATGATTGGTCACAGCAGTCACATGACACTGGCAATGGGCCGGTGTAGCGATATGGGACACAGCCGGTGACAGATCACGCCGATGTGTGGCCCCGCGAGCGGCTCGTTTTGACAGGACGTCTTGGCGCCCAGTCACAACGGCGAGTGTCCCGCCCGGCCGTCAATCTGCTATAGGGCTGGCAGGAAGGTGTTAACTTCAACCAGGAAAGGTGGTGTCACCCTCCTGGCTGTGTGTTCCGGTAGAGGAGTATGAATAATAAAAGCAGCTGGACGGGATTATAAAGCGTTTGGATCTTCAGGCAAACGAGACTACTGACGTGTATTCAGCCATATACCCGGAGTTCAGCTTTAATGTACCTGTGAAGAAATGACAGCCCCAGTCTGACGCTTGGGAAAAATGGAATTTGACCTTAACAGCCCTATTCACGTAATAATGCAAACTGCAATACCCCAAAGCAACCAATCAGAACGGATCTTTCTGCAACCTGAACGAACGGCAAGTTCTGCTGCAGGAAACACTTTATCCTTTACACATGAAGCCCAACTCCGGGCAGAAAATGAATGATCCCCTGCAGAGGGGCTGTGCCAGTACTGCAGGGATTAATGGTACGTTCTGTCCAGGGGGTGAGAAGAAGCACGTTTCCTGATCCTTCGCTCCCCCTGGAAGGTGGAATGATCTGATCCCAGACTCTTGGGGGTTTATTTACTAAAGCTGGAGAGTCCAAAATCAGACTCCCTTCTGCATAGAAACCAATCAGCTTCCAGGTTTCATTGCCAAAGCTTCATTGAACAAGCTGAGGTTAGAAGCCGATTGGTTTCTATGCAGAAGGGAGTCTGATTTTGGACTCTCCAGCTTTAGTAAATAAACCCCTTGGAGTCTTCACATCCGGAGCAGGGCTATGGACCCTGCTCTGGTCTTGCTGACATCAGGGACGCAGAGGCTCTGGGCATGGCTCTAGCTGCGGGAAAGAGTGGTGAGTAGGAAAAAAAAATGTCATCTCCAATCACGGAAAAAGCTTTCTTCACAGTAAGAGCTGTGAAAATGTGGAAAAGACTCCCTCCGGAGTTGGGTGTGGCCAGCTCAGTGGATTGCTGTAGGAAAGTCCTGGATTCTTTCTTGGATACACAGAATATAACATTTATAGGGAACGTTGATCCAGGGAATATCCGATTGCCTCTCGGGGGATCAAGAAGGATTTTTTTCCCCTGCAGGAGCAAATTGGATCGTGCTTTCTGGTTTTTTTGCCTTCCTCTGGATCAGCTGTGGGTGTCGGATTATAACTTTTTTTTTTTATGGTTGAACTGGATGGACTTTTGTCTTTTTTTCAGCCAGACTAACTATGTAACTATATCTCCTTTTATTGTTCCCCTGGGCGGAAACACACAATTAACCCTCGGAGTGCAAGTCCAGCCACATTAAAGGGATAATTCTTTATTTGCCCAGAATTGGGCTTTATTAAGACCTGAAGTGACAAGACACCACCCTCCCCCACCTACCTTTGATGAGCCGGTACCACTGCTTACACACCAGCGCTGCAGTCTTGTGTTCCTGATAGGGGGACAGGAAGGACAGGATGTACTCCAGTACCTCTTCTGGCAGCTCGCACATCGATCGGTTATGCTTGCTCAGTTCGGGATGAGCGTGTGGCTCGACGTCCTGCTCCATCGTCCCGTCTACTGCGTCCTCTCCGTCAACGGCCATAAACGCGTCATCTTCACTCTCAGAGGAGCTGGCCATGGCATTCCACACACGTCCTGAACGGGAAGGAAGAAAAATAATTCACCCGGTAACACCATCGAACAATGAATATTTGACAGAACATGTGGGAGAGCTGAGTAGTCAGATAAAATACAAGACATCGGACTGTCCCTGATATCTGACACAGGCTATGCTATGGGGGGGGGGGGATTTACTAAAACTGCAGCACTCAGAATCCGGTGCCGCTGTGCATGGGAGCCAATCAGCTTCTGACTTCACCTGGTTCAGTGAAGCTTTGGCAATAAAAGCTGGAAGCCGATTGGTTACTATGCACAGCTGCACCAGATTTTGCACCCTCCAGTTTTAGTAAATCCCGCCCCCCCTTCTCCATGAGTTCATCAGATTTGATGCTAAAAATAAAATTTCAAGTAACAGCAGAACTATTGCACAAGGCGTAATACGGAGCCGACTGATCATCGCTGCCCCTCAGAGGAGGAAAGAAGACACCCGGCCGGTCCTTACAGGCAATGGATCTCCGTGTTTTCTTCTTTCTTGCAGTTTTCGGAAGTAGAAGCCCCGAGTTGACTTCTTGTGGCTCCATCGGACACCGGAGTCTGCAGAGGCCAAGTATGGGGGGGGATGGGAGAGACTCCGGCCTCTGTACACCTTCACCTGCTTATAAACCTCAAGTGACGGTACAGAGAGGGTGACACGGCTCTTCCCGGCACATCTCAATAATGCAGCATCAATTGCAGAGGACCGGCCGGCCGACCCTCCCCAGCTGAGCTCATGGAAGCTCGCCGATCAGAAGACGCCACTCAATACTTATTTATCACCAACATCAAGGCTGCCAGTTCTTGCAGCAAGCGCTCCGGATCCGGCCAACAGTCGTCCCATACAGCCAGATGATGAAACACACAACGGTCATCCAGCAACCAATCACCATCCTCATTATAAAGGACAGGAAATGTCCGGCATCCCCCCCAGAGAAGGCGCCGCATCCCTCGGCCCAGAGAAGGCGGCGCCGCCGCATCCCTCGGCCCAGAGAAGGCGGCGCCGCCGCATCCCTCGGCCCAGAGAAGGCGGCGCCGCCGCATCCCTCGGCCCAGAGAAGGCGGCGCCGCCGCATCCCTCGGCCCAGAGAAGGCGGCGCCGCCGCATCCCTCGGCCCAGAGAAGGCGGCGCCGCCGCATCCCTCGGCCCCAGAGAAGGCGGCGCCGCCCCGCATCCCTCGGCCCAGAGAAGAAGGCGCCGCCGCATCCCTCGGCCCAGAGAAGAAGGCGCCGCCGCATCCCTCGGCCCAGAGAAGAAGGCGCCGCCGCATCCCTCGGCCCAGAGAAGAAGGCGCCGCCGCATCCCTCGGCCCAGAGAAGAAGGCGCCGCCGCATCCCTCGGCCCAGAGAAGAAGGCGCCGCCGCATCCCTCGGCCCAGAGAAGAAGGCGCCGCCGCATCCCTCGGCCCAGAGAAGAAGGCGCCGCCGCATCCCTCGGCCGCCGCATCCCTCGGCCCAGAGAAGAAGGCGCCGCATCCCTCGGCCCAGAGAAGAAGGCGCCGCATCCCTCGCCAGAGAAGAAGGCGCCGCATCCCTCGGCCCAGAGAAGAAGGCGGCGCCGCATCCCTCGGCCCAGAGAAGGAAGCCCAGAGAAGAAGGCGCCGCATCCCTCGGCCCAGAGAAGAAGGCGCCGCGCCGCATCCCTCGGCCCAGAGAAGAAGGCGCCGCATCCCTCGGCCCAGAGAAGAAGGCGCCGCAATCCCTCGGCCCAGAGAAGAAGGCGCCGCATCCCTCGAAGGCGCCCATCCCTCGGAGAGAAGAAGGCGCCGCATCCCTCGGCCCAGAGAAGAAGGCGCCGCATCCCTCGGCCCAGAGAAATTTTGGGTACAAAAACTGGTTAAATGGTATTCGTATTCTTTTTTCCCCTGATGTAAATGGACTTTATGTTCTTAATTGATCCGATGATCAGTTATCAGGACACCCTCAGAAGTTAGATTCAGTGGAGGGATGACACTCACCAGCCCAGGGAATACCATACCACCCTGTATACTCACAGCACCCCCCCCCCCCATACCCAACTACAATACCATACCACCCTGTATACTCACAGCCCCCCCCCCCCCAATACCATACCACCCTGTATACTCACAGCAGCCCCCCCCCCCAATACCATACCACCCTGTATACTCACAGCAGCCCCCCCCCCAATACCATACCACCCTGTATACTGTACCATACCACCCTGTATACTCACAGCAGCCCCCCCCAATACCATACCACCCTGTATACTCACAGCAGCCCCCCCCCCCCAATACCATACCACCCCGTATACTCACAGCACCGCCCCCCCCCCCCCACCGGATCCAGAGAACGGAGAGAGGCTGCACATCCCAGAATGATGAGGGCATCACCACCACTCTGCCAACACAGACAGGAGCGATCGATGATTATTACAGATTACTGCACCATCAATCACACAAATATTAATTGCACCCAACAGTCCCGGCACTCCGAGTCCCACACAATACCTGCCAGACACGCCAGCCCTTCGCCATGAGAAGGAGCCATAAACCCAGAGATGGTGAGGGGTGTGTGATGAACGGCCCTCAGAGGGCGAATGTGGGAAGAAACAAACGAAGAACCGATCGTCGGAGAAAGTAAAAAAACACCAACTCTGTCTACATTCTGCAGGGAAGGGAGGAGACCAATACCATTTATACAGTTTTTGTACCCAAAACATCAAACCTGTGTGTGTCCCCCAACAGTCACACACTATTATTATACATTATATATATATATAGCTCTGACATATACCGCAGCGCAGTACAGAGATCACTGAGCCAGTCCCATCAGTCTCTGTACCAGAAGAGCTTACGCTCTAATGTCCCCTCCCCCACAGTCCCATCAGTCTCTGTACCAGAAAGAGCTTACGCTCTAATGTCCCCTCCCCCACAGTCCCATCAGTCTCTGTACCAGAGGAGCTTACACTCTATAACGTCCCCTCCCCCACAGTCCCATCAGTCTCTGTACCAGAGGAGCTTACGCTCTAATGTCTCCTCCCCCACAGTCCCATCAGTCTCTGTACCAGAGGAGCTTACGCTCTAATGTCTCCTCCCCCACAGTCACATCAGTCTCTGTACCAGAGGAGCTTACGCTCTAATGTCCCCTCCCCCCACAGTCCCATCAGTCTCTGTACCAGAGGAGCTTACGCTCTAATGTTCCCTCCCCCACAGTCCCGTCAGTCTCTGTACAGAGGAGCTTACGCTCTAATGTCCCCTCCCCCACAGTCCCGTCAGTCTCTGTACCAGAGGAGCTTACACTCTAATGTCCCCTCCCCCACAGTCCCATCAGTCTCTGTACCAGAGGAGCTTACACTCTAATGTCCCCTCCCCCACAGTCCCATCAGTCTCTGTACCAGAGGAGCTTACACTCTAATGTCCCCTCCCCCACAGTCCCATCAGTCTCTGTACTAGAGGAGCTTACGCTCTAATGTCCCCTCCCCCACAGTCCCATCAGTCTCTGTACAGAGGAGCGTACGCTCTAATGTCCCCCCTCCCCCCACAGTCACGTCAGTCTCTGTACAGAGGAGCTTACACTCTAATGCCCCCTCCCCCACAGTCACATCAGTCTCTGTACAGAAGAGCTTACACTCTAATGTCCCCTCCCCCACAGTCACATCAGTCTCTGTACAGAGGAGCTTACACTCTAATGTCCCCTCCCCCACAGTCACATCAGTCTCTGTACAGAAGAGCTTACACTCTAATGTCCCCTCCCCCACAGTCACATCAGTCTCTGTACAGAGGAGCTTACGCTCTAATGTCCCCTCCCCCACAGTCCCATCAGTCTCTGTACCGGAGGAGCTGACACTCGAATTCAGAGATCTGTGTGCGATGAAATGAAGCCAGCTCACGGTGGGGCGGCTGCTGGGAGATCAGAGATGGGGTGGCAGCGCACTGGCTCACATACGGTGACAGGGTGTAATTGTTGGTGACACACATGCAGCGTGGGGGGGGGGGGGGGTAACAGATCATCTGCAGAGGGATGTGGAGAGGTTGCAGCACATCTCAGGGCAGAGAAGACACAGAAACCGGTAATTATCACTGATCCTAATAACAGTGCAGACCTCCACTAATGACACCTCCCACCCAGAGGGTGTCAGGAACACTGGAAGGGGGAGGAATGTGACACCTCGGGAGAGGAAGGATGTCTTGTGGGGATTTGCTCAGAGAACATGTCAGGTGTTGGGGGACTCCCAGCATCCTCCTCCATCACTAGGAGGGCAGGAAACACAATGATGACAGGTTCTCTTTTATCCCGGACTGACAGAGCGGACAATGCCGGGTCCAGGATGAGGACAGAACCGGTTCAGTGGATCAGTGAGAAGTCCGAGGGACCACGGGACACCGAGAACCTGTTCATCATAATGAAGCCGACACGGAGAGCCCCCCTGACACGCAGCGGAGAGCCCCCCCTGACACGCAGCGGAGAGCCCCCCTGACACGCAGCGGAGAGCCCCCCTGACACGCAGGGTGTATATACAGTCAGTGGAGGTATACAGGGGGTGGTCTCTGTATATACAGTCAGTGGAGGTATACAGGGGGGGGTCTCTGTATATACAGTCAGTGGAGGTATACAGGGGGGGGTCTCTGTATATACAGTCAGTGGGAGGGTATACAGGGGGTGGTCTCTGTATATACAGTCAGTGGAGGTATACAGGGGGGGTGGTCTCTGTATATACAGTCAGTGGAGGTATACAGGGGGGGGGTCTCTGTATATACAGTCAGTGGAGGTATACAGGGGGGGGGTGTATATACAGTCAGTGGAGGTATACAGGGGGGTCCGGGTGTATATACAGTCAGGGGAGGTATACAGGGGGTCTCTGTATATACAGTCAGGGGAGGTATACAGGGGGGGGGGTCTCTGTATATACAGTCAGTGGAGGTATACAGGGGGGTCCGGTGTATATACAGTCAG